AAGAAGAAGAAGAAAGAAGAAGAAGAAAGAAGAAGAAAGAAGAAGAAGAAGAAGAAGAAGAAGAAGAAGAAGAAGAAAGAAGAAGAAGAAAGAAGAAGAAGAAAGAAGAAGAAAGAAGAAGAAGAAGAAGATGAAAGAAGAAGAAAGAAGAAGAAGAAGAAGAAGAAGAAGAAGAAGAAGAAGAAGAAGAAGAAAAAGAAGTGGGAATCGCTATAATCCATTCATCTGCACACCTCATTGTCTGCACCGTCTGGATAGTAGTGGTGGGAATCGCTATAATCCATTCATCTACACACCTCATCGTCTGTACCGTCTGGATGGTTTTTGACAGGATGCTGATTGATGCGATTGTGGGAATCGCTATTATCCATTCATCTACACACCTCGTCGTCTGCACCATCTGGATAGTTTTTGACAGGATGCTGATTGATGCGATTGCAGTTTCTTTTTGTTATCTGAAGTCTCTGGTGGATGTTTTCAAAGTTCATACTCATTCATGGGAGGAGGATGAGCTGGGGTCGACATGGTTATTGAACCGCTAATGCGTGCTGGCTGGCCTCATGCATCTTTCTACCACCAGCCGATGGGCACACATTTCCGCAGAAACTACAGCAGGCCAACGGATTCTTTCCTACCCAAATTGCCGTTTCAAACTCACGCCGTGATATCTTTGCGGGCGCGTGTTCTTTCTTGCCTTTGCGAACTCAAAACCTGCCGCATCCGCCGTTGTTTCAAAAAAAAAAAAAAAAAAAAAAAAAAAAAGGTGGTCTTATGGCCCTTGGCAGACAAGTTCTTATGGTGTGGTGGCACACATTTCTGGCCGCGTCCGTCGTTGTTTCAAAAAAAGAAAAGAAAAAAAGGGGTCTTATGGCCCTTGGCAGACAAGTTCTTATGGTGTGGTGGCACACATTTCCGCAGAAACTAAGTCTCAGTACCTATACATCATATGAATAAATAATAAATATCATATCCACAGATGCCACAGAGAATTTCACATGCATCACAAAGTAAGGGCATAGTCACACTAGCGCTTTCGTAAATGTATCAGACTGGAATTATGGCCAGATCTGGATGAATGTGACCACAATCACGTCCAGAGCTTAGCAGAAAATGTCTTAATGTGAGTATGCCATTAAGGAATGGGGAGTAGGTGATGGCGACCTGCAATGAACAAATTGATGAATGACTTTTGTATGCGGACTACAGCAGGCCAAGGGATTGATTCACTGACTTGTGGAATTTTTATTTTTTTTCAATTTTTTTGTAATTTGAAAATTTCATCAGATGACGATCCGGTTATCCATCAGTTATTGTCAGGTCTGGAAGATACAAAGACCATTACAGAAATGCAAGTTCACCACAGCAATGAGGAGGAGAGATATTTCCACAAGAGTGAGGACACGGGGGCTTCAGCGGTTTCTGCTGACTTGATGGGCGGCAGTTTGAACGTTGATGAAGAATCTCGGTTGGAGAGATATCTCCACACGAGTGACGACGCGGGGGCTTCAGCGGTTTCTGCCGACTTGAGGGCCGGCAGTTTGAACGTTGACGGAGAATCTCGGTTGCCAGATGACATGCTGAGTTTACTAGTAAAGCCGGCGGAATCGCCGTATGCGGAAGAGAAGTTGGAGAACTATGCTGAGAACACGGAGGACGTGGAGGCTTGTGCATTCTCTGCTGCTGATCTGATAGCGGGGAGTTCGTATGTCGATCAAGGGTCCTTGTTGCCAGATGACGGCTTGTTGGGCTCACCATTGCAGCGGGAAGAATCGCGGCACACAGAAGGCACCCATTTTGGAAACACACACACAGAAGGCACCCATCTCGAAAACACGGCCCCAACTGAAGATATTCTGAAAATGACCGCCGACAGTGGCGAGGAATCTGACAGCGAGCATTACGAAGATGCAATAGATGTCCAAGATGAGTGGAGTTCCACAGACGCGTTCAGCCAAACAGTAATGCAGCGGCATGAAGCTCCACAAGTTGGCCGTGCCATCGCTACTCGCCCGTTCGCTAAACCTTTTGTGAATGTGACCCTCCCGGACTCTGGTGACGCTTTGGCCTCAGATGCTGGTTACCCTGCTAAGCAGCTTGGAAAAGTACCAGGACATGCTCCTGGAGAATCAATGCTCCCGGAAGGCGACTGCGCAGCAGAAAGCACAACGACAGCGGTATCTGATTATCCGATGATACCTCTGGACAATAAGAGGGAGCTAGTAAAGGGCAATGTTCTGCTTGAAGCTGGCTTGCTGACTTGCCACAGTGTGAGGAAAGCCGTTGCAGACCCAGACGTCCCGCTTGTGAAGTATGACACTCAGCTGAGGAGTGGAGTCGAAGATGAACGTCCAGGGTCTTCCCAGGTGGTTGTGGCCAACGACAACTCCACCGTCCGTGGAATCCCCAATACAGTTGAAATTGTCAGTGTCCTCAGCAGTGAAGACCAAGGTGCTGGCCACGTCCAAGCCGTCAACTGCCCCGTTCCCATGATGGACCTCTTGAAGGCAGCAGTCTCTGTTGATAAAGAGGCACAACCTGAGAATGGCATGGGGTGTACTGACGCCGATGGGTCAGTTGTTGCTCTGGTGCCTGTTCAGACTGCTTGCTCGACAGCACTGGACCCTGCAGAGATGGTGGCAACGCCATTGTCCTTATCACCTTCTTTTTTGGAGGTGAGTTTTCTGTCCGAGGCAGATGCTGCTGAGGCGGAGGAGGAGGAGGAGGAGACACTTGCGATCAAAGATTGCAGGCTACATCCAGCAGTTGCTGCGAGTGTCGGGCATGACAGGAAACGAACAGGAGGCCCCATTGCTGAACACGAATATGTTTCGGAGGGGAGGACAAGTGAGCAGGGCATGGCATTTGTGGAGGAGCCTGTCTCCAATGAAGGACAAGATGCTCCTTCTTGTGCTCCTGCTGTAAACCAGCTGCAGACAGCCATAGGTAATGGTGCTGATGCCAGTCAGCATCTACCTGGACAAGAAAAAATGAATCTTGAGGAGCAAGAGAGTGGATCTGTGGTCGATGGAATGAACAGGAGGGAAAGGCCAGACTTTGCTGCAGAGTTGAAGAGTAGTGGAGGAGTTCCTGTGGCTGCAGAGCTAATCATTTCAGGTGCGCGTTCCTTCACATTGTTCCAGACTGGAAGTGTCCCCGTTGAGCTTGAAGCACACGAGGGGCGAGACATCGCAGAGGAGATGGATGGTGAGGCAGCTGGTTTGAGCACGGAAGTACTCGTCGCAGGTCTTCGTTCGTCCACGATTTTGCAGACAGAAAGTGTCCCTGTCAACCCTGCAGAGGAGCCAAGCCATCCATCAAATGTGTCATCCGATGCGCTTTCAGGTTCAGATGTTCGTGAAATTGTAGCGGAGGACAGTCCCAGGTTCACATCATCGTCATATAATTGGTGTAAATCCTCCACTGCAGTAGACGATGATGGATATCTGCCGATCAGTATCTTCTCGAAGTCTTCTCAATGTGATGGGACTGCGCCTCAGGAGGAGTCTAGAGAGACTTCCACCATCATCACAGACACTGAGACCATCATCACAGACACTGAGAATGGCGTAGAAGTTGGCGTACTTGTTTCTGGGGTTGAAGGAAAGAGGCACACGGCAGTCGAGGTGAATCATGAAACAGCATCACAACCAACTGACACGGTCTCAGAGAGTACTGTTCCTCTAGGGGTGTCAAGCCTGCAAAGCAAGGTTGGTGGTCCTGATGCGGATGCTTCGGACGACTCAGCCAGTCACCTGACGTCTGCGAATGACAGCCAGCCGCAGCAGTGCAGTCAGGGGGGGGGGCTTCCTCCTGCATTGCATGTCGCTGCAGATCTTCCAGGAAGCAATGAGCTTGCAAAACCTGTGCTGAGTGGATCTCTAGAGGAGGAGATGAACGAAACGGAAGCCTGGACAAGCAGCGCAATCGACGGAAACCTACAAAGACAGAAGGAGGTTCCCTCACGTATCGGTTGGATGGGGAAGAGGGTGATGTCCCTTCCCATGCTCGCCGTGCCAGCATTTAGAAATGATAGGGAGGTGTGCACTGGTCTCGTCGTATCATCTCAGCAGCCTGGTTCAAGCGCAGAGGAAGGAGAGAGTTCAGTCTCCGTGCCAGATCTTGCTGGAGGCGGCAGCGAGTCAACCGTGAAAGGTGACGACACTGTAGTCCCAGGAGATCGTGATGGAATGCCGGAAGAAACTCTCAGAGAAACCCAGTTCCATATTGATGGGCCCGCTAGTGCCGGTGAAAGCCTGCAGCTGGCTTGTCAAGAAAGTGAAGCACCACTAGCTGCCCTGTCTCTGCATTGTCAGGGCATTGAGCAAAGTGATGGCAGGGCAACAAACCCTGGAAATGGATTACTGGCTGGCAGTGCAATGTCACTTCCTGTCCCATCAAAGGAGGAAGGTGTTGCCAGTGACATTACCTCTGTTCTTTTTGGGTCTTCCATTACGGAAACAACGCAGTGCAGTCATCCAAGCAGAGATGAGGTCATTCCTTTTGTACAATCACCAGAGCAGCAGGGGGAGGACAAGGAGGAAGGATCGGTGGACGTCATGACGCCAGTCGTCAAGGAAGTGGATAATAGAGCGCCTGCAGCGTCCACCTCTTCTGTTCAGACCGGGTCCGACGGCATTTGCGAAGAAGAAGTGGAAATGTCTCTGCCCGTGATTCCGTGGTCATCGACATTGACATCGCAGAATGGTCCAGATCGATCGTCTGTGACAACCACCATCCCTTCCTCCACATGCCACAATACCTTGCAGTCAATGCCCGTTGGTCAGCTAGTCTTTCCAGCAGCTGCTGCAGAGAAGTCACAGGCAGATCGCTTGAAAGGTGTTTCAGGACTGAAGGATTCCTCTCAAGATCGAGAACAAGCTGCCCTGCCTTCAGGCTCGACCCCGTCAGAGACCCTGATGATGCCATCCAGCAGTGCAGTGTTAGTCAAGGATGATGTTAGTGCTCTCATCGTGGAGGGGGTCGCGAATGTGTCACACGTGGTTGATGATGTGGTTGATGATAGAACGTTAGGAGAGAACGAGACAGCCTGCTCACCAAACACGGCCGTGGATTCCAATTGCAGGCAGCAAGGAACGGTCACTCTGACACACAGGGAGTTTTGCAGTGGCCCTGTCATATCATCTCAGCAGCCTGGTCCAGACACAGAAGCACGGGAGAGTTCAGTCACCTATGGAGCAGCTGGAGATTGCAGCAAGTCAGGTTCGAAAGACTTTGACACTGTACTAAAGGAAGCAGAGAATAGAGAGCCCACAGGAACTTCCAAAGAAGAAGTGGAAACGTCTCTTGCTCAGATATCGCGGTCATCGACGTTGACGTTTCAGGATGTTCCAGTTCCATCATCTGCGACAACCTCCAATTCTTCCTCCACGTGTCACAGGAGTTCGGGGTCGATGTTTGCCGATCAGGTGGTTTTCCCGGCAGCTGATGCGGAGCAGTCGCAGGCAGATTGCTTGAAAGGCATCTCACGACCGAACAGTTCCTCCCAAGATCGAGAACAAGGTGCCCCGCCCTCAGACTCGACTTCACCGGCGACCCTGATGCTGGCATCCAGCAGTGCAGTGTCACTCAAGGATGATGGTAGTGCTCGAATGGCAGAGGGGGTCGCAGATGTGTCACGTGCGGTAGATGATGGAGGGTTGGGAGAGAACGACACGCCCTGCTCACTGAACACAGCTGCGGATTGCAGTAGTGGCAGGCAACAGGGGACGGTCGATCGGACGAAAAGGGAGTCGTGCAGTGGCCTTGTGATATCATCTCAGCAACCTGGTTCAAGCAAAGAGGAAGGAGAGCGTTCGGTTGCTCCAGGAGCAGCCAGTTGTGGCAGCAAGTGGAGCGCGAAAGTAGGTGGCCCATCTCTGCATGCTCGGGGCACTGAGCAAATCGATGACAGGGAAGCAAACCCCTCAGATGGCTTGCTGGCTGGCAGTGCAACGTCACTTCCTGTCCCGTCGAAGGAGGAAGGTATTGCCAGTGATCTTACCACTGTTCTTTTTGGGTCTTCTTCGATTACGGAAACAACTCAGTGCATCCATCCGAGCGAAAATGGGGTCATTCCTCGAGTAGCATCGCGAGAGCAGCAGAGGGAGGACAAGGAGGAAGGATCGCTGGACGTCATGACGGTAGTCGTCAAGGAAGCGGGGAATAGGGAGGCTGCGGTGGACACCTCTCCTCAGACCACGTCCGCATGCATTTCCAAAGAAGAAGTGGAAATGTCTCTGCCTGTGATTCCGCAGCAGCAGACGGAGGACAAGGAGGAAGGAACGCTGGACGTTGTGACGGTAGTCGTCAAGGAAGCGGAGAATTGGGAGCCTGAGGTGGACACCTCTCCTCACACCACGTCCACATCCATTTCCAAAGAAGAAGTGGAAATGTCTCTGCCTGTGATTCCGCAGCCATCGACGTTGGAATCGCAGAATGTTCCACGTCCATCGTTTGCGACAGCCACCATCCCTTCCTCCACATGTCACAGTACTTTGTGGTCAACTCCTGTTGGTCAGCTAGTCTTTCCGGCAGCTGCTGCACAGCAGTCACAGGCAGATTGCTTGAGAGGTGTTTCCGGACTGAAGGATTCCTCTCAAGATCAAGAACAAGCTTCCCTGCCTTTAGACTCAACTCCACCAGAGGCCCTGATGCTGGCATCCAGCACGGCGGTGTCAGCCGAGCTTGATGTCAGTGCGCAAATGGCGGAGGCGGTCCCAGTCAGAAATATGTCAGACGTGGTCGACAATGGAGCATTGGCAGAGAACAACACAGTCTGCTCATCTAACACGGCGGCTGCACATGGCAACTCCAGGCAACTGGGAATGGTCGATCTGACGGAGCCGACGGCTGGGTTTTACGAAGTGGAGAAATGCAGCAAAACTGTGGATGACGTGAAGGAAAGAGGGCGGGTCAAAATTGGAGGACTGTCAGCGGTTCTGCAGACATCAGAAGGTACAGAGAGCACTGGGTTAGCTGACGGCCAACTTTCAGTTACTTTGACAGAGAACGACACAGCCTGCTCATCTATCACAGCTGTGCTTTGCAATTCCGGGCAACAGGGAATGATTGCTCTGACAGGGTCACCGGCCGGGTTTTGTGAAGCGGAAAAATGCAGCATAACTGTGTACGACGCAAAAGGCGGAGGGCGGGTCACTGGAGGACCATCGGCGATTCCGCAGGCGTCAGAAGGTACAAAGAGCACCGGGTCAGCTGACGACCAACTTCCAGTTATGGAGGATGGAGTGGACGAACCAGCTGCTGGAACACCCATTCCAGTTCTAGTTGATGCTTCTAGCATGGGCTCTTGCGACAACGAGGATCCGAACTCCTCTGATGGCGTGTTTGTCGGATCATTTGGATGGCCTTTGAGGGATGGTCCCGTCGCCAAAGTCAAGGCTGTAATTCAATGCGTCAGGTGCCGCATACAGGCTTGTGAAGAGACTAGCTGTATGGCCGCTCCCACATCAAATGTGACTGGCTCCGATGCGGGAGGATCTGCAGAACAGTCTGCAGAGAATAACTCACAGTCGGTACATGTACTGTTGGAACCTCGAGCAGAGCAATTACCACCGGTGTCGGGAGAAAAAAATGCCGCAGTAGCAACTGAGGATGATAGGACATCAGCCCCAGCTGTGCCGCCCGGGGTTGGGACGTCAGCAACTGATAGCATAGTGTCCGACGATGACCAGTGCACTATATATGTGGACGCCACAGAAGGAGAGAGAGCTGAGATATGCACCCCATCTGGCTTTAATGCAGGAAGATCTGCAGAGGGGGACGATGCGGAGAATGAGAACTCGCTGCCAGTAAATTTGTTGGATCCTCAAGGAGAGCAATCACCACTGATGTCAAGAGGAGAAAATTCTGCAGTATCAGTTGTCGATGGTACATCGATCCCAAATGTGGTCGGGTCGTCAGTGCTGGGTGGGGTCGAGACAACTGAAACTGGTAGAGTGGTGGGCGAAGATGACCATAACGCTATGTACGTTGATGCAGAAGCCGAAGAAGAAGGGCCCGAGATATACACCGAGGCAGCAGAGCAGTTCTTCTCGTCGCCGTCACCAGGAGATTTGTCGTCGATCACACCATTGGATTCTTGTGCAAGCTCTCCCCCTTGGATCTGTGATTCCTTCAAGGATGCCGCGCAGGTGCTGTCAACCCCACACCGCAGCGGAACAGAATCGAGAACCAACAATTCCTCGACCATTGGATCGCCCGAATGGTATGATGCATATACAGATGCATCTGCAACTGCAGCGTCAGCGAGCCCGGCCAACTGGGTAACACCCGAAGGGACGTCAATTCATCAGTCGTCGTTGTCGCTGTCGCTGTCTTTGCCAGGGCAATCTAATGTCGCGACGCCAGAGCGTGCGAGGTCTCGCCGGTCCAGAAGTCGAAGTGACGATCACGATGGATCTGCTCACGGGCGCTTACTGGCCCAAGAGGTGCAAGCTGTGGATTTGGCTGAGAAAGCATCTGCACCTGCAGACTTAACCAAGCCTTGTTCCTCACCGCTTGGAAGGGATGTGGACGCAGTATCGGGAGGATTTGGTGGCGGACGGGATGTGTGCGACACTCTTCAACGTACGCAGAGGGTAACAGTGTCCAAGGAGAGAGAGCTGAGCGTTTCAACTGACGCTGACGCCAGGATTCTGCATGAGGATGCCCACGCGCCAGGAACAGGTGTCGGCAGCCATGCTCCTCTGGCAACCAGTAGTCTTATGCCTCTCACCTTGGCTTTGAACTCAGCGGAAAAGAGTCCTTTTGTCCAGTCACGCAATTGTAACGACAATGATCCGCGAATTAAGTCGGTCCCATGTCCGGTCGCTGTTGCTATTTCAAGTCCAGATTGGCAGGCGGTTCCTGGTACACCATTAGTGTTGGATTCAGCAGAGATGTTCTCTCTTGACTTGATGATGAGCGGTGACGAGAAGGAAGACAAGGTGTTAGACTCTGTTGCACATCCAATTCCAAGACTGATAGTGGCTGCATCTGTTCATGTTGCTGCCGTTAAGAAGGAGAATGGGCGGGTGCTGGCTGCAGCAGCTCCTGTTTTGATCAAAGCAGCCTCAGCAGCTGAAGCAGACCAACACAAGCGCCCGGCGAGGGGTGTGGGAGGGGCACATGAAGGCGAATATGAGGGGGGGGGCATCGATATTCTCGGGCTCGGAACAGAGCGCTTAGACGGAGGATTGGCAAGCGAAGCTGTTGCTTATGCCGCGGAGAGGCGAGGAGCTGCAGCAAAAAACAGCAGGGATGAAAGAAAGGGAGTACCTATGAAAGCACACAAATCGGAGGACAAGGTTGAACGGTCGCCGCCGAGTAAGACGGAATCGAAGAAGGACGACGCTGCAAAGAATCGGCCCATATCCAGAGAGAGCACGCCGCCTGACAACGGTGTGGAATCAGATTGCAGTATTTCTGGGGATACTCCCAAGTCCTGGGTGATATGGAGGCAAAAGTCCGGCGAGAAGCGCCCCTTCCTCCAGCTCCGCTCTGCAATACAATCATTAAAGCCCAGTGCTAACTCTCAATCCGACTCGCCCGTCCACTCCGTCTCCAAGAGTGGTTTCGCAAGCAGCAGGGCGATTCCCGTCCTTCATCCCGACAGTTTTAAAGCGGCTCCTAAGAACCGAGTTAGTCATCACCTCAGCTTCAGGGAACGGTTGATGTGCTGTGTTGCCCCTAAGGTCAGTGCTTGAACATCTGATCTCAGGGCATGCTCACACCGATTCACACGCAAGGACTTCTCTACTGTATGTATCGGACCTGCAATTGGAGCTGACCTTGGACGCATTTGACGGCAGTTACGCCCAGAGGTCAGTCGAAAAAAGTCCTGCTGTGAGTAGGCGCTCAAACCTGCTGCTCATCTGTGGGGGCAATTACCTGCGAAGTACCGTTCTTCCGACTGACACCTACCCTCAAGTCCTCACAACCCCTTCCCCCCAATTGACAAGTACTCGTCGTATGTAGGTGTGCATTACCGCTGCTCAGAATCAATTTGCATTTCGGCATTGATTCATACATGTATACAAATGTTTCAGAATTTAAAGATATATATATATACATATACGCAGGTACATGACAGTCATCTGACCTTGGGGGGCAGGAGGACAATGGGGGGTCAGTAAGGGTTCGGGAATGACCAATGCACTATCAACAAGAGAGAGAGAGAGAGAGAGAGAGAGAGAGAGAGAGAGAGAGAGAGAGAGAGAGAAGNAGAGAGAGAGAGAGAGAGAAGTGCACACACACACACACACACACACACACACACACACACACACACACACACACACACACACACACACACACACACAGAGTATCATATTCGTAGGGGGTTGGGAATGGCAAATTAGCAATTCGCAATCGGTGGACCTATCTATCAGTCCAAGGGCTGGGGTCCATTTATCTCACCAATCTACGCTGGGAACCCAAGTGAATGAATGCTAATGGCGTATTATTCAAACACAAGCGGGGAGAGAGAGAGAGAGAGAGAGAGAGAGAGAGAGAGAGAGAGAGAGAGAGAGAGAGAGAGAGAGAGAGAGAGAGAGAGGATGACGCTAATGACCTCTGCTTGGACGCAAACATCAGATCATGCCCAGGCGTGTTGTGCTTCTTTACTGATAGTTGTTGTTTAGCCAGCTCATGTCAATCCCTCTCAGAGCCAGATGAGGAGGGAGGGAGTTCTGGTCGCAGTATTCCAAAAGCAGCACATGTCTCTCGCCCGCCTTGTTTTCGTGTACACTCAATCGATGGTGCAACACCCTATGTGTACATTTATATACATACATATATATATGCCACTATGCTTACATACCTTCATCTTTCTGGATGCTTAGGGCGTACTGACACTAGCTCCATCTTATATGTATCTGACTGCGTTTACCCGCGGAGCTGGATGCATCTGACCAGAATTGAGTCCTTAAGTAAGTTTACTAGAGGTTTAAAAACCCCTTTACTAGTTCTTTTTGTTTTTTTGAATATACTAGTGTAATACTGATAGATGGGAGACGCACTAACACTAGTACCAGAGGTAAGATGACTTAGATTGAGTTTCTTTCTTTTTCTTTTTTTCTTTTTTTGTCTTTTTTACTAAACCAGGTAGGTCAAGTTTCTTTTCTTTTTCTGCTTTTTTTTTCACCTTTTTTGAGAGAGCTGGCTGCACCACAGTCTGCAGATGTCTTTTTGCTTGCTGTTCAGTGTTTAGTACTGTTTACTGTTTACAGTATTTAGTGAAACCCTTTCGACAATGCGGTTACCTCCTCCTTTTGATGATGTGATGTGTGTGATACGACGAACCTCCGAACGCCAACTCACCGGGAAATTTAGTTTGTTGAGTGAACTTGAGCCTTTTTTTTTTTCTTTTTTTTTTTTGAGATATGTGAGCGGGCTTTTTTTTTTTCTTCCAGATATGTGAGTGAGCGATTTTTTTTATGTTTTCCACTCCTCGAGTTTCTGAGATGACTAAGTCAGAAGAGGTCGGCGAGATTCGAACCATGGAACAGTGTAGCTGGGAGGAGGCCTCCCATTGCAATACCTGCATGTTAGGAGTTGGCATGAGTGAATCTTGCCACTTTTACTGGTATTATTCATGCTTTCTGAGCACTTTTTCTGAGCATGGAGCAGGGCTTGTGTGAGCCTATAGTAACTACATAGAGCCGGTGGTTATCCTCAACACACTTCCATCAAGTTCCATGCATCTTTTTTGCTATTTTTTTTGCTATTTTATTTTCTATTTTTTCTTCAACTTCAGATATGCAAGTAATGGTTTTCTTCTATTTTTTAGTATTTTTTGCTTTTTTGCTATTTTCTTCAATTTACGAAACCAAACTTTTTTTTTCCGCCCCCACCACACCACATGTCTTGCCAGCATGTTGTTGCCTGGAAGGGCATCGGTCTAGGATCTTTAGCAATGATAGGGGTATATAAAGAAAAGACAACAGCGAATTCCAATTTCTCGTGGATGGGGTAATGCAGTAATTAAGGCAGTAATTAAGGCAGTAATTAAGGCAGAAAGGCCAGCAGCAGGGGAAGTGGCAGGTAGGAAGAGGACAGAGAAAAAAGAGAAGGCGTTTTGTTTTTTGGTTTTTCTGGAAAGGGGTAATGCAGTGATTACTAGATAATGCACAGAGGCCAGAAGGGTAATACAGTAATTACTGCAGACATTAGGCGAGGAGGAAGGGTAACCCAGAGGTCAGAAGGGTAATCCAGTAATTACTGCACAGAGTCCAGAAGGGTAATCCAGTAACTATTGCAGACATTAGGCCAGTAGGAAGGGTACCCCAGAGGCCAGAAGGGTAATCCAGAATTACTGCACAGAGTCGAGAAGAGTAATCCAGTAACTATTGCAGACATTAGGCAAGTAGGAAGGGTACCCCAGAGGCCAGAAGGGTAATCCAGTAATTACTGCGCAGAGTCCAGAAGG